GCTTTTTAAAAATAAAAGTAATTCAGTTTTAATTGTGGATTGTTCTGCTGCATTCTTAGATATACAGGGGGTCCCCAAGTTACAAACAACCTGTGAACAAACTGCCATAAAGCCTATTTTACTGTGGAAAATTGTCATTACCATAGAGAGAGAGGAAGCAAAAGGGAAAAGAGGGAGGCCTCCAAAGCATGCCATCCTGCCATGCTCATCTGGAGAGAGGAATCTCCCCCACATGTCCTTGCTGCAAAGAGGAGGCACTGGTGAGTTGTGAGGTGGGGCTGGAGATATTCCGTTTTTCCAGTTTCACAGGGGTCTTGTACTCCTAACCCCCGAAAATGTGGAGGGTCAACTCTTTGTGCTCCGATTTCCATACAAATTCAACTTAAAGATGAATTTCCATTTTCCCAGAAATGGAACTCGTTTGTAATCCAGGGACTGCCTTATACTTGTTTTTCAAGCAAATTGAGCTTGCCTTTCCTGTTAAGTGTAGCTGGTCACAGGAAACAACTCATCCAAGTTTCCAAGCTCTCCACAAGAAAGGTACTGTGAAAGTATTCTGCCACTCCTCTCCTTTAGGACACATACCTTGTCTATATGAGTTCACAAGTTTCAATTGTTGTCACCTTTGAATGGAAAAGAGGTTTTGAAGAGCTATATCTACTACTATATGCTGGTGGGATTGAGTCAGATAGAACATTGCTACAGCTGTACAAGTTCAGATTTTTAAAGGATTTAATAGTGTTAATTCAGGCGTGAGCACCAAATTTATTTAATAATAAATTAGCTAAAATTTAGATTTTAAATGATGTTGGTATCCTATTTGAAAGGATATCTTGTGCATGTAATTTCTATTATTGTGTCCTTTGTAATGATGATAAATTCTTGCTTCAGTATGGAAAGTACACACAAGGACTGATCTGTAACATGTACAGTTGACATTTTAAACACATTACCACATCTACTTCATTAGATGTAGCTTTATTAGCTTAACATGAATCACAATAATATTCTGGTTTAATATGTGCAGGAAATGTTGTACACATCTGAGAATCAACTATCAATCATATTTTCCTCTTCCACAACCTTTCTGTTTCCTTCTGTGCGAGCTACGTAGCACTAGTTTCATTGTTTGCATTGTAGCATTCATTTTTAGGCACAGGATAATCAGAGAAGAAATGTCTGAATACATTGGGTGGGATCTAGAGCTAGAATAAAGAGTAAGAGTAAGCCCATTAAAATCACCTGGCCTTACAGTTGGGTTCATATTTGACTTGTCTCATTTTTTTCAGTAGGTGTGAGCAAATCTGGATCCAACCCATTGATCTTAGGGCTTTTCCATATGTAAGACTTTAAACTGATTGGCTTAAATTGCATAGTACCACAAGAGTTATTTGGTAGCTTTCAAGATACACGGAAGTGTTAATCAGGAAACATCCAATCTGCATTTCAGTATAATTTCACAAGGAAAGAGTTGATGAGATGAGATGCTGTTCTGGTGATACAGCAGCACTTGAGCAGCTCCATAAATAGCTCCTCATGGAAGTGACTGGGGTTGGGTGTGTAGCTTTGCCTGGTGGACTTTGAGAGGCTGCTTAGCTAGTGCACCCTTCTCTGTGGGGAGTAATGCTGGCTGGCTGCAATAGGAGGGAAATGCATCTCCTACCCCCTGTGCCTCCATGGAGCTCACTCAGTGGCTTGGGTGACTTGGAGCTCACTCGCAGTCTAAACTGCCTCACAGGGTTGTTGTAGGGGCAGAATGTTGAGGAGGAGGATTCTTTAAGCTGCCTTGGGTTCTTTCCAGGAAAGAAGGTGGAATAGTACTTACATATAATAAACAAACCTGTGCCTGAGGCTTCTGGACCCATTGGTCATCACAAATAACACATTTTTAGTGCTGCATGTAATGCTTGCTCCAGCTCCAGGCTGAGTACTAGTGAAAAGACACTGTTGCATCTCCAGTGTGTGTGTGCAAACCCTGTATCTCTTGTTATACTCTTGTAACTAAAAATCTTAAAGACTCCCGGTTTATAAGCAAGATGGCATTGCTCTCTGCAGGGTTCCCTATCACATGGAGACATTCTTAGAGATGTAGAAACACAGAATTTGTTTCAGATGTAGCTTATGGACAGACCCTGTAACTGGCACCTGTGTACATGTCATGAGCAGAGCCAGCCAGAGCTGGGGGTTAGACTAGATGGCCTGGGAGTTCCCTTCTGACTTGCTATGTTTCTATATCTCAGGAAACCAGTTAAAATGAATTGCTAGTTTCCCTGGTTTTACTTATTTCAAGGCGGGGGGTGGGGTGGGGAAGCAAGACTCCTAATTATCCAGGGGCTTCTGATTTAACTCTGTGTCTGTATATACAGATTCAGAGCTTAGAACAAAGTGTTGTTAACTTTGGACATCTGGGTTCTTCAAAGGCTCCCAAAAGTGACAAAGGCCTCTCTAGGGATGAATGTTTTACCTGTTAGCTCAGCCTTCCCAGTGCCCTTTAGATGGTTTGAACTTTCAATTCCCATTGGTCCTGGCCAGGACTGCCAATGGTTAGGAATGCTAGAAATTGTAGTCAAAAATATCTGAAGGACAGCAGGTCAGGGATGGCTGTGACAACTGAAGTGGGGTTACTAATCCATTATAATTGGCTCTAGTGAATAAGTTTTATTTGAAATTGAACCTGGAACCCCTGATCACTGAGGAAATGTATCTGAGATACATTTAGCTGGGTTTAGCTGTTGGATCACAGCTGAAATCTTTGGACACTTTTAAAACCTTTTAATAGGTTTATTACAGACCACAGCCTTGCTCTTAAAGTCTTTGGTGCTATGTAAAGGTTTAACCTCTTGCGTTATGCCAGTTGTTCCATAACTGTTAGGCCACTTCTGCAAATATTATGGACATTCCCACAATCTGTCTCTTGATATTGTACGTGTATTCAGAACAGGATTAAATAAGTTATAATGCAATCCTATTTATGTTTAGACAGCGGCAGTCTTCTTTCCTATTTAAACATCCATGGGATTGTACCCTCAACCCCATGTATAGCATGAGGTAGAATGAAATCAATAGTTTGAGTCAAATTTTTAATGTTACTTCTTATGCTCTGCCCTGTGGAAATGGTGAATTTAAAAAACTTTATCAAAAAATTAAATGTTAATGTAGTTGTCTTGCAAATGTTGACATTTCATCATGCAAGTTGAACACACCCATGTAATATGCGGGTTGTGATCTGGCTAGAAATAAAGATCAGGTAGGGAACACCACATAACAGTTACATTCCTGTCCTTCTCACTAGCTGGTGAGAAAATGCTACCTGTCCCTGTGATTATATAAAGCTTTATAGAAAGAAAGAGTTAGACTGTTGCCTGCCTTACTGGCTAAGGATCGAGTTACTTGTATTAGTGTGCATTCTCATTCTCCCCTCCTTCCTCTCCTGTCAATGATGTTGCAGACATCACTGACTCAACTGCGTAATGGAAAGTCACGATAAAAGAAACTTAACTTCTGTTTCAGTGTAATGTCTGACCGTGCAGATTCTACTGTCACCTGTCACCAGAGGCTGCTGTATCCTGGAGGAAGGAGTGAATCATGAGCTTGAGTGCTGAGAATGGAAAATAAGAGCAACCAAGCAATGTTCTAAAATATGCTTTGCCTGCCATTTGGGTTCTGACCAACAGTGAGCAGAAACCATGGTTTGGTGTGAAGGCAGAGCTGAAGCAGTTGACATGTTGATGCTATCCTATGTTGCTTCAGTAAGCAGAGAAATGTACAAGCCATTTATATTTTAGCTTCACCCGCACCCAAATGATTGGATATCTTAATTTGTTCTGAAGCTGCTAAGTCAGTTTTTGAGTTGGGCGAAATGAGAAAGCATGGTTAATTGGTGGGTTCCTGGTTTGATAGCACCAAGGAGGACCAAAGAGGCTGCATGTGCATAAAAAGGCTTGTTCCTATTTCTACTTATTAAATTAAGATCATCTGAATTGGGCCAGTGTGTCTCAACTTCCTTTGGCAGTTGTGCTCTATAGTTCTGATGCTGCAGCTTTAAAATATGGAAACCAGATGTTCTATATTTCAAAGCATGTTGAAGGCCTGTACCAAAGCATGCATGAGAGGTATTGTAGGAATCAATGAACATAGTCCAGTCTGATCTTGTTTTCTTCCAGATAACTTTGCTGAAAAACAAAATAACCCTCTTGTACAAATACAACACACCCTGCTTTTGCTGAATTATGCAACTACATTCTGAGGATTCTTTTTGAAGAGTGAAGATGGAGGTTGTGCCCAGAATCAAGATTCTTCACCTTTTTCGAAACATCTTAGAAAATGCTGAGTTGAGAGCTTCTTGTCGAAAATCTCTGTTATTTCATTGTTGCACATTTGGATATTTTCCCACTAATGGCCACATGTGCCAAGTCTGTAAACCACCATATTAAACTGGCTTTTAAATTTTGAAGCCGCCTCCTCTTAAAAACATACACTGATTTTATGGCTGTTTTCTGGACTGCTTAAACTAGAACACTATAGATCGTGTTCTGTTCATTCCATAGCCTCCCTCTCCCTTCCCAAAGTGCTTGATATATTTGCTATAGTCTCTGCTTAGTTGGAGTAGGTGGAATATCCATTATTTTGCTTTTTAAACCAACGCTTTGCATTTCTATGCAGTTAGATATGTAAGACTGGATCTGGACTTAATAAGAGATAGAGCAGACCGCCAAAATCAGTGGGACTTAAACATTTATCATGACTAACTTTCAAGTCCTATTGATTTTTCTAGGCCTGTTCTATGTGTGATTACATTTGGCCCTTAATGTTTCCATGTTTGCTTTTGTTTCTTAAGGGCGTCTTTTTCCTTCTAGCATTTGGACTTGGAACTATAAAATAACTAACTAAACTTTGGCAGGTATCCTAAATGGGGGAAAAAGTAAAGATAAATTTTGGCTTCAGAGAAAGAAGAGTTAAATTACTTGTTGCTGACGCAAAGCAGATGCTTTCATTAGTGCTTTGGAGTAAAAGCAGTCAGAATGTAGAACAAATGTCTTCAATCAAGTTTGGCCTAAAGCATTTTTACAGTGTGTGTATGTGTATGTTTGTACATTACAGTTATGACAAACTATGAATAAAATAACATAGTCTTGACAATTCTATATTATTTGTAAACTCTACTAATGAAATATTCTTTTTTTCCTAAAGTTCTTGCTTAGGAACAGTTTTGGGTTTTGTATTGTAAAGTATTGTTAGGAAGGTCTGAAGGTTGATGGTAATTCATATTTTTGATACAGATTGGTCATCATGTTTTGAGAAGTCTTTTGAGTTTTCATACTTAATCTTCTGCAGAATATTTACATACTGAGAATGTACCAGAACTGATGTAGATCACAGTTTGCAGCTTCCTACCATTTTAAACAGCTTGCATTTCCTAAAAGAAGAACCAGCTACAAGATGGCCAACAGTGTGAGGGCAAAAAGAAGAGGGAAGATATTTGGTTTGGCATATGCTAGTTTGGCATATTTGTCCTGTGACAACAGCTAATGGGTACAGGTTTTCCCTGGCCTCATTTCATGAATCTTCCCCCAAGAACAGGAATATCTCACCAGGGGAAGCGTTTATCTGTAAACTACCATTGACTGAGAGGAAGGAGCTGAAGAAGGGAGCATAACTATAGCTGACAAATCTCTTTCTGGTGCTTGGTCTTTTTATCAGACCCTTTCATTCTCCTAGCTGCTCATCTACCTTGTGTTGAGTATGATTAAGCAGAACAAGCTCTCTACAATTATAATAGATAGATGATTACCCAGATCTTCAGCTCTTGGGCAGCACAGAAGTGAAATAAAGAAACAAATCTGTATTCATTCTTATCTAAGTTAACTCTGTTTTGATGTTTTTGTAATATGTTAAAATACAATTTTATATTACTAATTGCTAAAGGTAGAAAGAAAGTTAGCATGTTGTTCTGATTCTCACTCACCAGGGTGGACTATTTGTTTCCTTCCTGGTCCAATTTAGGATGGTGCCTGCTGCCTTTAAGCATGCTATTTTTAAAAAAACTTTAAATATGGAATCTTTATTTTAGCGTTCTTCTCCTATGCTTCCTGCTTTATCCTGCTTGTGCAAGGATTTGGGGCAGGGCTTTTTAACAACAGCAGTATCCACCTTGTGGAATTCCCTCCCTTGGTAAATCTACCAGGCCTCTTCTTTAACCATAGTCTGCTGCCAGGTTGAAGTACTCTATTATTATTTCTGAAGGCTGTTGCAGCCATTTAATATAGTGCTTTAAAAGTCTCTAAATAGCTTTCTTTTTTGCTCTCTCCTGTCCAACTTTACTGCTGCCTTTTTGTTTTGCTGCTTCGCTCTGTCTAACAGTGGTAAGGCCATCCTGCAGCAGTCTGAAAGTACAATGCTGGGCATTTAACTGTGGCTTGTTTTGCCATGTCAAATATTTTATGAACTTGAGAGTTTACGAAACAATGAAAGCTGTAACGCAGAAGTTTCCAGAGAGGCAAATGTAATAAATAGGTTGGCATTTCATCTCCCTCATGAATAATGAAAATGATCTAACAAGTCAGTGTTTTTCTGTCTTATGTCTTGGGTAACAATGCACACAGCATTTTATTGGCTGGCACTTAGCCTATCAGGAGCCAAAATACCATTCACTACCAAACATATAAAAAGGCACTGGAAAACTCAGTGCATAATTTCCCCCCCCTCCGGTCAGCCCTTCAAATGCTATCTTAACCATAAGGCCAGGAAGAAGTCCAAAAAGACAAGAGGACAGAAGGACAACAGAGAAAAACAGATGCAAAGAGCAGCAGGGCAAACTACAGCAGTAAAAATCCAGACAAACTTTTTTCCAAGGAAGTAAGAATTACCCAAGGCAAGTCAAGCAAAGAGACAGACCTGACCACAGACCAAAGAGTGTTGGGAGAGCAGCAAGGTGAGCTGTGACATGTCTGACAGTCAATGTGATACGGAGAGCTCTGAGGAGCCTGAGCCGTCCCACCGGGAGAGGAGGCCAAAAACATCTCGTTCGTGCCGGGCTGGCTTGATATTCCCCGTGAGCCGCATTGATAGATTCCTCCGAAGAGGAGACTTTGCAGAACGCGTTGGGGCAGGTGCATCGGTTTACATGGCTGCAGTACTTCAGTACCTGACATATGACATTGTGGATATTGCTGGGAAAATTGCTGAAAGTGACCACAAACGTCGAATTGCCCCCCGACACTTACAGCAGGCCATCAGCAGTGACTCTGAGCTCCACTGTCTGCTTGGGGGTATTGTCCTCCCTCAGGGAAAAGCCCCTCCCAAGAGCCAGCCTGCCACAACCTCCAGAAAGGGACGGAGCAAGAGGAGCAAGGCTGTTCGAGCGCAAAATGTGGTTGCTGCATAAACAAAAGTGGTGCTGTTTATCTGGATTTGAGAGGGAGTCTTTGCTATCCAGCAGTGTGCACTAATAAAAGCTGCTCTGATGATGTGCTCCTTGTATGAATGTATTTTTTTTTTCCATGTAACTTAAGTGGACAACTTTAGATGAGCTGGCTATTGTTAACCGTGGCATTAACAGAAGCAGTTCAGGTTTTTTGCTTTTTATCTTGTACTATGGCAAAAGTACATTATGTAAACATCATTTTGACATTTTCAGGCATTAGGTAAAGTCTATCATAGAGCAAGAGTCTGGCATCTGGCTGCTTTACATTTGTTTTGAGTAAAACACAATTTCTGGCTTTTTAATACATATTTTTGTTTCAAGCTAAAATAGCAAACCCTCGTTCTATTCAAATTGCTATGTGTTAAAGTTACTTTCCACTAAGAAACCCCTGAATGGGAATAAGCTTCTGTAAAGGGCTGCTGAAGGCCCACCTGCATTGGCTGCTACCAAGAGCAGAGTTCTGTTATGCCCAGAAGATTCTTCTCTTTGTGTCACAGTTCTACAGAATGTGGCATATCTCTTAAGCTTCTTCAGTTGCATCAGAACCTGAGAGTGTGAACATTATTTAACCCTAAATTTTGCCTTCTTCCTGGATTAAGCTGGTAAGCATTGGACACTGTAAGACGTTAAGCCTCAGAGTGGCATTTTTAAGAATAGAATTAGATGGGCCATCTGTTCCATGAGTTTGCCGTCTGTTTTCTGTGCCTTTTGCATTAATTGTGATAGGCTGTACTGAGGAGCTGCCTAGTGTGGTGTGAAAAGAATAGATGATTCAAAAGGACCAGGACACTTGGTAGAAGTTGTTTCTGGGCAGGTAGATAGACTTTATGATTTGCGATGTTACATAACTTTTAAAGGCCCACCTGCCTTTTTGCTCTGATGGGAAACGGTTGAGCTGTGTCCCAAATGGGTGCCAAATGAATCTGCTTTATTAGATGCTAAGTGTTTGTTCATGAGAGGAAATTGGTTGTTTTTATTTTAACTCCAGACTATTACTGCTGTTAAAGATAAAAATGAGATTGTCGTGCTTAGGCTTTTACTTTGGTGATATAAATGGCCAAAGATCCAAGGAACATGGGAATAAAGTCCACCCAACCTGTGTCCTGTATGTATCAGACTAAGGAAGAAGTGACCCTGGCTTGTAAATCCAGTCAACAGATAAAAGAAGTAGGCAGAGGGGAGACTTTAATTGGAGAGCTTTGCCTCTCAAGGATGAGATATCTGCATGGGATCAGAATGCAAATTGGTATATACAAAGCAGAGCAAGTGAAAATTGCCACACAGGAATGTGGGTATACTAAAAACAATAATAAAGGGATGGTGTCGTTGAACAAACCATCCATCCATCCATCTAGACAACTTATATGCCGCCCCATCACACAAGCCTCTATCATTCCTTCAGATTCTTATAGCTTTCTACTATACAACAAACAGATTGGTTTCCACTTGATATGCTTGGAACTTGCTGCTTTATTGTATTCTTTGAAACGGAAGAAGTAGAGATGGCACTTTTTTCAGTGCACATGAACACAAAGCCAGTTCTGATTGAGGGTACAGAGCTAGAATCATCCATTACTCAAAACTTGAAAACTTGTGGCTTAATTCACCCAGTGAGGCACCTGCAAAATGTAGGCTTACTCTTAGGCGTGTGGCTAGGACATGTGCACATTGCACACCTGATTCTGAACGGGGCAGGTTTTGGTAATGGCCAAAACCATCCAGAGTCAAAACTATTCAAACAATAAAACTGTCCCATGGAAACAAAACTTGTACCTCTCCTTGCCTTAGAAGAATTCTGATCACTAGGCTGTTTTCCTTTTGAATATATGGAACAGATCATCAGTGCAGTGTAGCAGCTTGCTTTTTCAAGAGAATGTAGACTCCACAAGCTGTTTAGTACCGATGTAGCTAGTTTGACAGCATCATCTAAACAGTGGTTCTTCACTCAAAACGGAGCATATGATAGCTTGTGTAAGCTATGTGATAACAATACTGAACTGTGAAATTCCATTACTGGTCATGCAGTGGTTTCTTTACAGCTGCCAACAGCAAGGGTAGGGAGTGTCTTTTCAGGGGCTGGGGATAAATTCTTTTCTTTGTATTAGAAACTAATGTAGTTCCACAGCCACCTATAAAAAGGATTTCTCTGCCCACTACCAGAAAGCCCATTGATGAAAGATAAATTACTGTTTGCCTACGTAAGTAGTATCACAACCTTACCACTTATGTTAGCATGCATATCCCATATAACCAGGATACATATATTGCACAAGGTTAAACTTCTGAAACTCCACAAAATCACTTCCAGGCACTCATGCCCATAACAGGTTGAATTCATCTAGAAAAACTGATCATCAGCATCAATGGAACATAAAAGACAACCAGTGGAATAAACTGTCTCCATTTTTTTACAAGTCAGTTAAAGCAAATATATAAATAATATTTGCAGAATTGCCACACAGGTTGAATCCCTGATGCTAAAAGATGTCTTAAAAGTTAGTTTATTGCTATGATCAAAAGGTCCACTTTGTATGCAGCCAGGTGTTTGGCTATGCATTTTGTTTAAGCATCAGGTGCTTGAGTTGTCCCACAAACCCTGTTGTGGCCCCCTCAGTTTCAACATCAGTTTTCCACATGGCTGTGAGTGGGTGGGATAAGTCAAGCTGCTGTTGGGGTTTTTTGGATCCCTGCTTCTCAGTCCAATTATGATTGCTGTTTGTCCCACCTCACAGGGTTGCTATGTGAATATTCACCATTTGCTGTTCTCAGCTGCTTGGAGAAAAGCCAGAATAAAAATCTAAGATATAAATGGATAGGTACATCCTTCACCTACTGATGTGTGAAGGTCAGTTGCTCCAGACCAATGCTGTGCTATTGCAGCTTTGTTTTAGTAGTTAAAAATAACGGAAACTGAAATAACATGGATGCTTAATTGGCTGTTGGCTCTTGTTCAACTTTTATTCAAGTAGAAGACTGGTCTAGTGTGCATTTGAGTGCTTCCAAGTTCTACAAAATCCAATTAAAGTAGACATACCTAAATGTTAAACTAATACTTTGGATCATGTGGCCAATTTCAGTACTGCTATTTAAATTGCCAAACAAGTATTATTTATTTGTTTTAAAAAATTGTATGCCACCCAATTTTGCTACAGGACCTCTTGGTGACTCACAGTCACAGGATAAAACACAATAAAAAACAACTACAACACATTTAAAATATGTCAATAAAATATGGACAAAAATCCAAAACAAAATGTTGAGTGGCTTTATTTATTTATTTATTTATTAAAACATTTCTATGCCACCCCTTGCCAATTTTTTTAAAGAAAGGAAAGTCCTCACCTGGAGCTGAAAAGAATATAAGGAAGATACCAGGCAAATCTCCTTGGGGAGAGCATTCCAAATATGGGGAGCAGCTTCAGAAGGCCCTCCTCCTAGCAGCCATCTCTCTCACTTCCTTGTATTGTCAGTGTTTTCTGGATATTTCTGGTGAATAATGAAAGTTTCTCTTGCTCTTACTCTTTCATTCTCTCTCAAAAAAGTAAACGACACTAAATAGAAAGATTGGTATATGCATCTCAGGGATGGCTATACCATTAGGAAAGGTGAGAAGATCCCCTCGGCAAGGGGACACTGGCAAGGTAATGGAGGACAAAATATGTGTGCATCTTATGCCCTGTATTCATTAGGTTAGGCTGCTATCAACAGGTGTGGTAGAGAACACTGTCCTGTATCATCATAAGATTCCACTGCACATCTAGTTGGTTTTTGCATCTGAAAGTGGGGAGAAGAAGCAAATTGTCTTGGGCCAGGGTTTTGATACAACTGCAGGGAAAGCTGCTTTCAAAAGATGATCATGCAAGTGCTTGATGACTTTTTAACCCTAATTCTTTCTTTGTTCTTAATAATTAGAATGTGTGTCCACCCACTTTCTTAAAAGTAGCCAAGTAATACAGTGACTTGATACCCCTTCTGTTACTTGGAAGAGAAAGGGTAGTAGGTGATGCCTTAAAAAGCAAGCTTTGTCAAATGAAAAGTCGTTTTTAATATTTGGATTACATTACATTGTAGGCATAACGTGTTTTATATAGGAGACAAGCCTTTACTTCACCCTACAACTCTTTTGGGTGTATCTCAAACAGTAGGTCTTTTCTTTTCTTTTCCAGGTAATAATTACTACCAGTATGTTGGTGCTATCTGGCAAAGCTGTAAATGTGACTTGACATCTTGAGGACTGCATCCATGGCCGTTGGGTGATCTGGTGAATCATGGAGCTGAAAGTATGGGTCGACGGAGTCCAGAGGATCGTTTGTGGTGTCACAGAAGTTACAACTTGCCAGGAGGTTGTGATAGCACTTGCCCAAGCTATAGGTAAGTGGAGTAATGTTTTGAAAGGGTTTTGTTCTGTTATATACTTTGTACTGGGAAGGTTTGCTTGGTCCTGATGGACCACCGTGTTTTCCTGCCCCATGGCCCCAGCAAAAACCTTCCAAAAGTTTGCTTTCCACCCTGGAACCTGAGCCTGTCAGCTTGTCTCCGTTGTTCATTTTTTCTTCCTTGAAGTTATTAATGCAAGCGCTTATGCTCCTGAGGAGGCAAATGCCCTTTTAGTGTAGGTAGCTCACTTTATCTGAGTATAGTAGTGGTCCATTAAAAAAATACAACCTCCAACTCTCCTCAGAGTTTTTCATTTATTTCCAGTAATCAAAAGAGCTACCTGAATGTGGAACAAAGACCACTGTTGTACATAACTGTGAAAGAGAGGAGGGTATTAAGGGACATATACTAAATGTACTCCATTTATCTTGTGCAACATTCAAATTGGGCAAGAGCAAAATGGCTTCACCACTCCAGGTATAGAGGTAACAAAGCAAGGTTCCTCTTGATGTGGGGAGGTACTGATGAAGCAGCAACACCATGCAGGGAACAAACCTCCATCTCCTGAGAAATCTGAAGGGTGTTTTCCCTTTTCAGTTCTCATAACTTTTGTTATGGTAAAGGAGGTGCAATGAACTATAATGTCCTCTTTTCCCCCATAAAGCCACATTTCCTTGTAGGAACAGGTTCCTCTGTGAAGTGTCTTCAGGGCCATATAAGGATAGGACCAGCAAGGAAGCCTCTGGCTCTGCACAAAGCTTTTCCAAAAGAAAAAGTTACATTTTAGAAAAGCCCATTTGCACTTAAAGTGGTGAAGGGCTCTCCTCACAAAGGCTTCATCTCAGCAGTACTTCTAGATTTGACCACATGGACTATAGAACACCACATGATAATCCTGGGAAGTGCTACCGGGCTGTAACCCTGTGTGTGAAAATCCCTGCACCACTGCAAGCCTGCATAGGACTTTTTAGCAGCATGGAAAAGGTTCTTGGCCATTTTGTACATGTAAGACTAAGCTCAGCACAACCCTTTCACACCTTTCAAACTGCTTAGTTCTTCCCATATCCTCTTCAATTTGTCCCCATCCACCACCCTGTCTCCAAATTCTCCAATGTCGGTGGACCTTTAGGACTTAAATATGGAGCAATAGCTTAGTACCAGTAACTGTTCCAGGTTTTTAAGGGCCCTTGAGCAAGAGGCTCACTTTCCATCAGTGAGCCTCTTCTCACAACACTGTTCTCAGCTGCTGCTATTCCTAGTCTTCCTTCTCATCATTCCTGCCACTTGAAAAGAGCCAGACTGCTTCACATCCACATCTGTGCTGAAAGTAAAAGCAGCTGAACAAACAGGTTACAATGATGAAGAAAAGCTCCTTCTGGGGTACTGAACCTCACTGGACGTTTAACATGCCTATCTTGACTCCAGCCTTACCTAATACATACTGTAGGTGTATTGATGAAAAGAGGGTGAAGAAATCACTTTGAACCCTTATAAAGAGAACTTGTTTTTCATTTTTGTTACATAACCTACATTCATTCTATACCCAATTACTTAGGTGTAATTCCCATTGAAATTGATAGAGCTGACTTTGAGTAGTTACATATAGAATTATGTTCTAACTATGCATTTCAGCAGTTGCAATGACTACTGATATGAAGATCCTCCCCCCCCCCCACCCTACAGATATACTTAAAGAAGACTTTTGGAAAAGTACAACTTTGTAACTGGTCTAACAGGCGTGTTTCTTAGAGTATTATGTGAGGATTAAGTTTCTTAATGTGCCTGATAGTAATGGGAGGGTAGTGGTTTTCCAATTGATGGGAGCAAAAGGTACTCTACTGGGTAGGGGTTTTTTTGACGTGCATGTGCAGCTAGCACAACTCACGTGTGCATTTTCTGTGTGTATAGACACACATGACATTTAGAACATTCTCAGAATTAGGCATTGAACAGCAGTAGTGCAGAAATGTTTCATATTCCAACTTCACACAAGAGGCATCATTAATCCCAATCAAAACTTACTTGGAATAGAGGATATAACAAAATGACAAACAAGAGAGAAAACCAGATGCACAAAGTCCAGAATACCTGAAGGATCACCTCCTTTCCTACAAGCCCTCACGCCTCTTAAGGTTGGTGGGGGAGTCCTTGCTCCGGGAACCCTCTCTGAAGGAAGTACGGAGGGTGTCTACCCAGAGGAGGGCCTTCTCTGCAGTGGCGCCCAGACTATGGAATCTGCTCCCCAGAGAGGTCCGCCTGGCACCAATGTTATATTCTTTCCGGCGCCAGGTAAAGACCTTATTATTCGACCATTATTTTAATAACCAATGCTTTTAGATGTTTTAGGACTTTTCCCTTCACAGTCGCACTTTCTGTATTTTCCTCCTTATTCTTAAGTTGTGATGTATTTTATATTGTTTTAATAATTGATGTTTTATATTGTATTTTTATATCTTGTGTTTTTATATTTTGTAAGCCATCCTGAGCTCTTGGCAGTAGGACAGGATATCAATGCCTGTAATAATAAATAATAAATAAAGTACAGCAGCCTCTGTTAAGGATACCATCCCGGATAATTTCCAGCATTGCCACTCAATTGTTTACTGTCCTGATAACAGCAATTGATCTTTACCATTATTCCTGCTTTATGGTACACATTGAGGACCATCTGTGTGCTTGGCCGGAGAGTGGGCCACACATCACATGTGTGATGCAGCCCTTCTTACTTTTTCTGCCTATAACTGAAGTCTGGTGGGCAGAGCAAAAGAGAACAAAAAAAGGGGGGGGGACTTGGCAAAGGAGCAGAAGGTGGTAGGGTGAGTGAGTCAATGGACAGCATGTAGTACAGGTATACATAGAACATTTTATGGTATGGGGCTTGCCTTGAACATTAGAATTGGCACTTGGCGTATCTGTGCTGCAGTCTCCATTCTTCTCCATTATGGACTATATTTCGGTATGGTGTAAATAAGACTTCCTTAAAAACTAGACCTGCTGGCTCATATATGCTAAGAGACATCAAATATTTAAGAGGCTTAACTTATAAAATCTTACCCAGCTATATATGCCACTCTGGCATATGATCTGATATCTTTAACTGTTCAAATGGTGACCCCCTTCTCATTTGAATGGAGGCTCCAAGTCATTTCTAGGATGGGAAAGTCCCTTCTTGGCATCGGCCAATTACAATGTTTGACCATGTTTTGATGGCAGGTGCCAAGCATTACTGAGGAAAATACAGAATCAATCAGTCAATCAATCAATTAATTAATAAGAGTTATACACTGCTCCTGTAGCCCTATAGCGCTGTCTAGGCAGCGTACAGTGTAAAAATAAAAACCAATCATAAAAACAAAGTATGTGTAAGAGTACAATCATTGCAACTACATAGATTATAAACTCAAAAGTAGGTACAATAGAAATAAAACCATCATAAAATTCCTAATAATATAAAATCAATTAATATTATTCAGACTTTAGCATATTGGGAAAATAGGAATGTCTTTGCCTGGCGCTGGAACGATGATAATGAGGGCACCAGGCATACTTTTCTGGGAAGTCTATTGCACAGGTGGGGTGCAACCACCAAAAAGTTCCCTCTTTTATTTGCCATCCTCCTCACCTCTTTGAGGAATGGCTCTTTGAGAAGGACCTCTGACCCAGATCTTAGTGGTTGGGTAGGTACAAACAGGAGTAGACATTCCTTCAAATATCCTAAAGACTATGGACATGGACCTGAAAGTCCAAAATGAACTACAGAATTCACCACTTTGGCAGTGATCCAGTTGAAGGATATATATATACAGTGGTACCTTGGTTCGCAAACTTAATCCATTCCAGGACTCTGATCATGACCCAAATTGGTCGTGAGCCATGTCAAATTTCCCCATAAGGTTCAATGGTAAATAAGGTTAATCCGTTCTGTAACTATTTTTTTAATCAGAAAAATTTGAAGCAAAGTCACAAAGAGCAACAAAGATCGCAGCCATCTCCCCCCCCCCCCCCGCCACCAGCCATAGTGCCAAAGACGGGGCGGGGGGAGATAGGCATGATCGCAGGTGCGCTGGGTGGGAGACGGGCACGATCGCAGGCATGCTTGAAGGGGAGAGATGGGCGTGATCACGGGCACGCTTGTGCAGAAAAGACGGGCACAATCTCGGCCATCTCCCCACCCCCCCAAGCACAACCATGATTGCACCTGTCTTTCCTGCACAAGTGCGACCATGATCGTGGCCATCTCCCCACTCCGGGGGCGGGGGGAGATGGCCGCGATTGCAGTCGCCACCCAATGCAGAGTTCACAACCTGAGTCAAAATTTTTATGAAATTTTTGTTTGCGACCCAATTTGTTCATGAACTGAGGCATTCGTGAGCCAAGGTGCCACTGTACTAGAGATTTTCATGTTTACTTCTCTTACCTAAAACCTTAAGGCATATTTTAAACATGGAAGAGCTTAAACCCCAGTTTGAAGATTTGGTGTATGAACTGCTGAACTCTCTGAATGCCCCCAGGAAAGCACCTGTGTCATGTACCTGTAAATCATCCGCCAGGTCCTAATTATGACAAGGGATGTGTATTATTCATTGAGGGATTAGTATAAAGAACTAGGAGAACCTCTCCATTTGAAGGATGGAAGGAAGGAGCCTTTTTGTCCTTTTAGTGCGTGCCAAGTGGCAATGAGGGAAACACTATTTTCTGGAACCAAAGACATCATTTTGAATCTAAAATTTGCCAATTGGCTAAATATAGTTGAAATCTCTGCAAAGAAAATATAGATGTAACAGTGCTTGTTATGCATGTTTGGTGATGCTCTTGCTGTTAGTGTCTTGGAAGATGCAGTATGTGGAAAACATGCCGCTACCTTGTTTGGGTAACAACCCACATTATCTCCATGATAGAACCTGCAGTCTACAGTTGGTTTGCTAAGTATTAAAGTAGTACAAAACAGTTGGATGCCCTGTGCTACAAATTATGATATTCCATGTATTGTAATA